AATAATGCACTTATTAGCAGCCATTTTCTGAAAACGTCAGGCAGATGGTTAGACTGATAGTAACCGATTTGGCTGACATTTTTATCACATCTAGTAGACATCAAACTGAAATTTTGAAAAACTGTTTGCGGTTTTGAATTGCTCTCTTCAAAAGTTATAGACGTGGCAAATGAGGTCGGTGGTTAAGATGGAAGAAATGAATTGTTCAGTAAAAATTCATTTTCTCAGAAATGATAAGAGGCAGAAACCTGAAATTTTTATCAAAGATTCTAAACGTGTGAGCTGTCTGTTCTCGAAATATTTTGACTAGAAATTCGTTTCTTCGGGTTCGCCATCGGCTTTTTCGAAGATCCAAGGGTCTTCAAAGATCGACTAATTTCTTCTTGCATTAAGAACTTCAAAAAGTGAAACCTATTGAATCTGGATCAGTTTTCGATGCTGATTCTAAAAATCTAAAAGTAAGTATCCGTAAATGCTTCGGGATAGACGAGAATCCAAAGAACTTTCCTTCAAAAGGCAATTATTTTCCAAAACCGCGGTATAAGCACACTGTGTTTGACTGATCGAATTGGTCACAAGACAAACACACTTCGGTGGAGTGAGGATGGTGTCTGTGATTTGTATTGGTCATCGTATCTCAATGGTTTTCTGATATTGACTTCAAGAACTCTTCATTCATTGAATGTCGAAACAGGTGAAATGACACAAATTAATCAGGTGTCAGACAAGTACCAGAGCTCCCTAAAGATTTACGTGGACTTGTGTGGACTCTGCAAATAGAGATGTCACCTTCACAGGGGTAATATAGGTCTAGATAGATCTGTATGGAGCACTTGTGAGTCCAATGAACACACACATCGTCACGTTTGCATCTCGCCTTCTCACACTATTCTCTCATTAGTCATAAGTGGAATAATGCCGACTAGCAATACATTTGAGCTAAAACTCGAATTACTCTTCTTCTGGCAGTAATCAGACATGACTACAACAATAATATAAAAATATAGTATATTAAGCTTAAACAATAGAGAATTTAGAAATTTTACTTTTTTACAAGGTTAACTATATGAATAGCATAACAGGTCACGATTGAGTTTGATCATTTATTATGCGATTTCTCTCACATCTATATACTATAGAACTAAATATTTATTCTATCTTGTTTTTTTATTATTAAAATGTCTCTAAATATGTTTCAAATACAAAAAATAATTTTAAAACGTAGTATATTAAACTTCAACAGTAATATTTAATTAACATTAATTTGACTAATTATTGATTTATTATCAAAATATTCTATTAAATTATGAATACTAATTTCAACCATTTTCTTTCGACAATTTGTTTCTGCACTACCAATATGTGGTAATATAACACAATTTTTTAATTTTAATGATTTATGATCTAATGGTAATGGTTCTGATAATGTTACATCAAGACGTTTTTTGTCATAGTAGAAAAAAAAGAAGAAAAAATTATATAACTACAATGAGTTTTCCACAAAATTGTAATCCTTTAGATGACACGTAAAATAATATTCTATTTTCTCATCATATATATTCAAGATATTGCAAGATTTCAAATTTCTCCAGAGGACCTAGCAAAACGTTGATCTAATTCGGTTTTTCGATGAACCCTGCAGAATTAGAATCGCAGTTAACAGCTTTTACAATTCTAAAAGCTGCTAAATAACGTTTTAATGATCTGCTTTTAAATGGAGAATAAATACAAAACCCAGTCTAAACTAAAAGTAAGGTCGCGTTTCGCCAATTCAACTTTCGCAAATAGACATTCGCCATATTGGCGACTGGCGAATGTCCACACGCCAAATTGACATTCGTCAATACCCCTACGACATTCACCAGTACCTGTCCTCAGTATTCACTACAGTCTGCATATGCACGTTTGTCTGTTCTAAATAGTTCCTAATGTCAATATTAGTATCCTAATCATCATTTATGGTACCTCAACTTTCAGATGTGTGATTTTCGAAATTTCAATGGTTTTTTTAGCGGTCATAAGTAAAACCTTTATTATCCA